CCTGATCTACTCCTGATGACCTCCAAGTGTATAGTCATTCGTAAGCAGCTAGGTTTGGCATATATTTGGGGGAGACAACTTGGGAGAAATCCTGTTTCCCACAGCTCTCCAGTGTTAGTTTGCTTTGGCTGGACTGTCGTGGTCGGTGTCAGGTGATAGCTCATGGGTGCTCAAGGTTTTTGAGGTGATGAAAATGTTCTAAGGTGGACCCTGAATCTAGAACCCCGTTGATCATACACTTGAAGCGGGGGAGTTGTATAGTCAGGACATCAGCTCTCAATTACAACGTAAAGGAATGAGACAAAGGAAGGAAGGAAACAAGAGGCCGAATTAGGCCAAGAAGGAGTACGGAGTTTTTGCCAACTCCCGCTGCCCACGTGTGTCAGGTGTGTCCGTGGATGTCACGTGCATACATGTGTCCACTAAGACCGGAAAGGCCCACGGATGACTTGATGCATGGTCTGATTTTTTACTCCACAAAGCCGAATATGGCACCACTTTCATAACTAGAAAACAGATTTGCAACCTTTAAATGTTGGAAGATAAAGAAGCATGCTCTCCTGGCCCGTGCCTTCATGAATCACCCCCTCGGAGAGTCAGAGGCTTGTTCTCCAAAGGCGGGGCTCAGTGGAACCCAGGGGTGGAGGCAGAGAAGCTTCAACATCACCCCAGCCCAACTCACACCACGGGCAGCCTCCCAGAGCAAGGAGTGAGGCAGGCGCAGGCAGGGGGACTGGGCACTCACTGTTCCGTCTTGATTTGGAGCCTGGGAGACAGCTTACAGCTTAACGAGAGGAACAAGGACTCAAGTGATCCAGTGGGAAGGGGTGGGCTTCCTGTCCCCCTGAAAGGTGACAGCCTCCCTCCCAGCACAGGGTGTCTTCATTAAGTGGGCGTGGCTGCTCCCAGGCCTTTCCAGCTCCAGACGCTGGAGTGTCTGGACCGTGGATGGGCTGGGGCGGGGTGGCAGGGGGAGTGTGGCGTCAGGGTCTCCTGTCCTCTCTGCCCGCAGGCATCTCTGGGAAGAGTCAGATCCTTTTCGCACTCGTCTTCACCACCAGGTACCTGGACCTCTTCACCAACTTCATCTCCACCTACAACACGCTGATGAAGGTGAGCAGGGCCGGGCCTGGGAACTCCAGCTGGGACTGGAGTTGGGTTCCAGTGGTCAGGTGATCTGGATGTGGGCTGGTGGGCCCGTCACCTCATGGGGCCTCTTATCTCCTTCTCAGCTAGCTAGATGAAGGCTGGAACCTCCCAGCGCTTTCTAGGAGAGGCCGAGGAAGTCCCAGATGTAAATGCATCACAATGGTCACAGGTGAGACTCAGGGAGAGTCAGCTATTGTAGCGCCTTTCTGCATCCGCAACCCGCAGCCACATGAGCCTGCAGTGGGCTAATATCAGACCTATGGACTGGGGTTGGATCAGGCTGGGGTCCTTTCTTGTTATTAAGTGACTTCGTGATATAAAATTCCTTCTTAGACATTACAAAAGAAAAGTTAGCTATTATGATGAGTCAGAATAAGTAGAGTCCCAAGTACAACATCCTTAACTTTCAGAGAACTCCTTCATCTATCCATCCTTCCATCCCCC